AGGTTGGAAATCCCTGCTCTATTGACACTCTCTAGACATAATAGTATTATATTCCTCCTCATCATTTCCAGTCACTTCAATTTTCCCTCTCAGTGGAAAATCTTAAGTTTTATTCCAATGTATTTGGAAGCCTGAAATAGCAAAACCTTTCTCTTTACTCTATACAAGTTATTGACATGGCTCTGTAGAGCTCTTATTCCTTAAATTAAATCTCTCTCACTCTCTTACACACACACACACACACCCCATAGCTTTCTTCCTGAAGAAGCTATTTCAACTCCCTGCTGACTTTAGAATTTAGAACTTCCCATATTCAAAGACATGTAGATCTGCCTTGGTTCAAAAGTGATATTCTTCTTATATTTAATAAGGACCATGTCTTATTTAAAGAAAAGAGAATACAGATGCTCTTTTAAAATGCTACAGAAACCATAAGGCATCAACCACACTTCTATTTGGAATAAGAATAATTCTATCTCTTGTGATGCTGAAGTATCTTTACAGGCGGGATGGGTGGCAAGCAATTCTGATAAATAATAATAAATTATTATTATTTATTTGTGCTGTAATAAATAATAACTATGTATTTATACTGCTAATAAATAATAAGTTTAAAAAATATTGCCACAACAAAATATCAAAATTCTTATATTTTTGAGATAGCATGGAAAAGGCACATAATATCAGTCCCAAGAGTTTAAAACCTGGCTAACAAAACTCTGAAGTAACCAAATATAGAATTTGCTGTTTGAATTCAGCATTAAAAAAAGGAGACCACATGTACGACAAGATCACAAATAAGCTGAGCAATTGATCCCAAAATTTCCAAAAAAATCTTTGAGACACCTGCCCACCAAGCTGCCAGCTAATGCAATAGCCTACAATTATACATCCAGTGAAAACTATAAATTAACTTTCTCATAACCAAGGATAGTCAGGAATAACTATTTCCTGTGATTTATATAATATTTTATCAATTTGGCATCCTATAACTGGGTTGAGGGTGCAATTCATAGAATTTTTAGAAGCTAGGCATTCTGGGAGTTGCTGTCCAGCCCACATATTGAATTCAAGGTTAAAGCAGGTCACGTTAAAGTACGAAGAATGTTAAATCGTTACTGATTTCAGACTGAAAAAAATGAGGTAAAAACAATAGGAAGGTTCTAGGTTTGAGTCTATTTTGAAAGCCAAATATTAATTAGACTTTTGTTTTTATTATTTTAGTTTATATTTTATTATTTTTATTGTTTTATTTTATTTTTTATTATTTTGTTTTATTTTTTATTATTTTGTTTTATTTTATTTTTTATTATTTTGTTTTATTTTATTTTTATTGTTTTAATTGGTTAGCATATGGTGTACATAGCCAGGAAAGTCTACCCTGCTTTCTACCAGATTAGTTCTGGCAGCCTAAGATTGCTATTCATTTTGTTCATGCATGTGTGCTATCCACAGTGTAGCCATGGGGGCCAAACTAGATTTGCAACTGCTGGTTAACAGCGTTTGAAGGTGTTGGATCATCCAGGATTTCTTCAACCGACCTTGCCTCGCATCTGGGCAGGACTGGCACCGGCTCCTGCTTCTGCACGGAATGCTACCATTTGCATTGTTATGTGCTTTCAAACTGCTATGTGGAGCTAAGGGCAAATGATGGGAACTCACTCAAGAATGGATGCAATGAGTTAATGTAATATGAATACAAAACTGATTATGAAAGAAGAAATTTGAGGTGGTTTGTTCATAGAGTCATATAGAACAAAGATCAAATTGCTCAAATTGCCAACTACAGGAAGGAAAAGTGAATAGATTGAGAGAAAAAGGAAATCCGAGAAAACAGCGCTTAGAGGGAATTTATTAGATTTTCAGAAGGAATGGTGGGAAGTTTAGAGAAGAAAAGACAAAGTATGAATTATTATACATGGTAGAAATACAGATGATTTTGGGCACAGAAAGTATAATGAACAGTGTTGATATTAGATGAAATTAATTTACTTTTCTTTACTTGCATCTCATGCCTATTTTGTGATCAATGTTTCTTAAATTCTTTTTGCACTTTATATAATATTGCTTTCCCTCTATTTTTAATGATACTTACTCCAAAGGGGAACACATGATGAGTATATATGTATGTTTGTATATAATTCTCAGATAAAACCTATGATGCTTTATTACATAAGATCAGAATCTTGTCAGAAATGGGAATATGCATTAATACTATTTATTTCACTCAGCTTCCTTGAGTAACTTTCTTTTGGACCCTCTGCAATTTCCAACATTGCTAAGCCCACTAATGGCCATGATCTTAGCTGATTACAGAAATGTTTTAAAAAATGATGGAATAAAAACTGTACCCATTTGTTTTAGAATAAATCTTAATGTTCTATAATTCCCATGCTGCTTCTTTCCAGTATAAAAAGATCTTGCACATCTATTTTAAAGAATTATAAAAAATAACAGGGGGAAACTAATTTTTCTATAAAAATGATAATTTGTGAATCGGGTGGAAAGCAAATAATTAAAATGGATATGAGTATGCACTCTTCAAAGAAGAAGGGAAAATTGGAGTGAACTAATCTTTGCTCAGGTTTACCAATCTTTTTTTAAAGTTAATATTTTTTTAAAAAGTGATTGAGTAAGAAGTGCTCATCATGTCTTATCAAAATATGATGTGCCGTGCACTGCCCAACAGAATTGCAATTCTGCATTTTGTATAGAATTTATTCACCATTTTATTTGTGATACTTATTGCTGACTTGCAACAACAATGGTGGTACCAGCAAGATGAGAGAACTGCATTTAACCAGTATTGCTGACTTGGTATCTTTCTTACAGTTTTGGCAAAGGAGACATTTGTGTAGAAAAAGCGGTATCTACATCTCTCATTGTTCCAGAGATTTTGTTCAAATATATTAAAATGATAAAATAAATTTTACTTTAATTAATTTTATTACATTTCATTTTATTTAAATAATTAAATTATAATTACCCAGTATACATACATACTTAAATATATATAATACATCTCATAATTGCATATAGATTTGGTAGAGTTTTCATTTATTTTGCATAGATTTAACCCATGATTATACCAAACTTCAAACTCAGTTTTTGTAAACAAGACAATAAGCAATAGTATAAATAAAATCTGATAAAAAATTTATGAAGTAAACCAGAGGTTTGAAAAGTGTAGACAGTTCTGGGGCTGGAGAAAGAATGAAAAATTAATAAGGGACAAGAGTTTGTGCAGATAAAAACTCCACATCAGCCAAAACCTGAGGGAGCATTGAACATCAACCATCAGAACACTTTTTCAAAGCATTGAATATTTCATGGCATTTTTGGGATCTCATCCTTTTTTCCTGCTCACTTTGGCACAAAGTTAACCTACTGTCCATTTTTTAGAGCAGTGGTCGCCAACCAGTGGCCCATGGCCCACTGGTGGGCCTTGAGAAAATTTTGGTGGGCCCCAGAGAAATCTCGCCCCCAGAGCACCCCCAAAGCGATTAATCCAGGCTGTGCAGAAACACAAGGCTGCGCCTCCCACATGGCCCGCAGGAACCCTCCCCGCTCATTCACTCCTTACCTGGTAAACTTGCCTGCTAAATTTCTATTTTTCCTTTTTCTGACCATCATCTGTTCTGCTGTGCCGGGAGATTTAGATTAGCTAGGAAGCAGGAAATGGTTGGATTTCTTGATTTCTAGCTAGTCTTTAGATCTTCGGCTCTGCTTCCCTTAGGACTGAAGGTTTGCTTGTAAGCAAATTCAGTGCAGACTCAAAGCAAGCAAATTTGAGAGACTGAGCCAGCTGATGGCAGAGAGATAGATCACTGAATGATTCTGTGAGCAACTCAATCTGCCTGCTTTGCCTGATTTTGGGTAAAGGTTGCTCTTTTTTAAATAAAAAAATCAATATTTACCTGCATGGTGTGTTGTGAGTTAATTTTGTGAGTTTGCTTGCAAACAAATTTTATGAGTTTGCTTGCAAGCAAATTTTATGTGACAGATTGAGCTAGCCAATGGCAGATAAATAGATTTCTGAATGAATCTGTGATTCTGTGAGCAACTCAATCTGCCTGCCTGCTTTGTCCAATTTTGGGTAAAAGTTGCTCTTTTTTTATAAAAAAATCCAATATTTATATAAATATTTATAATATTTACATACAAACCATGCCCAGCCAGTCACATGACCACCAAGCCACACCCAAAAATTAGGCCACACCCACAGAACTGGTTAGTGGCCCCTGGGATTTAAAATTATGAGTTTGGTGGTCCCTGAGGTCCAAAAGGTTGGCGACCCCTGTTTTAGAGGATATGGCCTCATGATACAACCTCTGTCTTATCCCCAGTTGCCTAGGAAGGCAACCTAAATTTGTCTTCAGCTATTGCAATTTCAGGTAGTGTTTTCCATCTTCTCCCAACACAATAATGGGCATACTAATGATCTACAAAGCTGAGTTCATAACCTTGGTCTTAATGCAGTCTGCATCTGGCATCTGCCAAGGACCTATTGGGTAAGTGAAGATGCTGCAGCCACAACTTTCAGTCACAGGATGATGCCCTTCATTTCCATTGTGGGTTGGACTTCAGGAGAACCTGAACATCAGGTTTGCACAGAAGCATCTGCCCTTCTAGTGCCTGACCTGCACTTTGCAATCTGCCTTTCGTTCTAATTCAGAGGTCTCCAAACTTGAAAACTTTAAGACTTGAAAACTGAATTCTAGGAGTTGAAGTCAACAAGTTTGGGGCAATTTTAAAATTGCTAAGTTTGGGGACCCCAGTTCTAATCTGTTTATTATTATTTGCCTATTAGATTTTTAACCTGCCTTTATTACTTTATAAGTAACCCAAGGTGGCAAACATACCTAATGTTCCTTCTTTCTATTTTCCCCATAACAATCATGTGAGGTGGCTTGGACTGAGAGGGAGTGACTGGCCCAAGTGATTACTGCTTTGTCTTAATGTTTCCCTGCACTTGGCTTTAAAAAATTAGAGCAATATTGTTCTTGCTTCTTTTCTTCTTTTAGTTTTGGACTAACATCCAAGCTGAACGCAAGAACAATCTATGCTGGTTAAAGGGAAAACATATGAAGTAAATGGGAGAAGTTAAGCTTGAGAACCATTGGCTTAAACAAATATAAATGAGCTCATTCTCACTAATCTTTTAATTACTGAAGTTGTACAGGTAAGTGCTGGTTTACTAACCGCAACTGGGATTGGAAACTTGGTTCTTACATGAAGGCGTCCCTAGTGAAACTGCACTTGGGCTCGTGATCTTACTTCAGCTTTACTTTGCTTTACACTAAAGACCTGCAAAGGTCATAAATATGAGAATGAGTCATAAAAGTACTTTTCTGTTACCATCATAACTGTGAGTGAGCAATTCCTCACTTTAAAAATACCACATCATCTACTCATAACTATTCTATACTATTAGATGACACCCGTAAGTATTTTGTGCGTAACACGTTTTTCAGAAGCTAAACCAACCCATTGGTTTTGCTGTTGTGCAATCTTTTCTGCCAAACATTTTGTTAAAATGGGGTCCACTTTTGAGTCAAATTTATTGGCAAACCAATGCCCGTGGTTGAGGAGCCATCTTAGTTCTGCAGCTCCATAGATGCACACGCTGCGAAGATGTATACCAGTGCAGGGAGGATAGAGGGAGTTCTCATGGTAGTTCCATTTAACTAAACGGGTTTTGCTCTGAAGATCTGTGATATCTTCAGCTTCTCTTGAAATCTGTCCAGGTACTCCAGGCATACGAACAAGAGTTGCCCAGAAATGTTCATCTGGTGAATAAGTATCCTTTGACCATTCCAAAAAATCTTGAACATGGGAATTGCCAAGAATATATTGTACAAAAGCTCGACATAAAACAAAGTACGCACTGCCTACAAAAATTTCAATATTGTGTGGAGGTGGATTCTTTGAAATACTAGTTTTCTCAAGCATCTTCATATATTCATGATACTTTTTTTGAAATTCATAGTGATGGGTAAATCTTTCTTTTTTACTACTGCTTGGTCTTATAGTCTCCAACATGTTACCCCCATTAAGTTTCTTAAGTTCATATACCAGTTCAAAGTTTGATATCAGGGGAAAATCTTGGCCACACAAATTAATTACATACTTCCATGGAACTGCAGATTTCAATAAATCAGATAGACAATTCAAGTCTGCCTGCAGCCTTGAAATATAGGCATACTCAACCACTTCCAATTTGGATGCAATGAATATATTAGAGAAACATTTGGCCAGATTCTCCAAAGCCTGTTTGAAAGTGTCAGAAGACTTTTGATCATAATGAATACAGTAGACATTCTGACTACTATAAATTGTATGAATGAGCCGCTCGACCATTATGGCATCTTTGTGAACAACCAGAGAATAAGCTAAAGGGAATTCTTCCTCTTCTGGAGAAACGGCCTTTAGGTGATATTCTCTAATTGTTCGGTATTCCTGGCAGTTAGTGGTCATTGCTATAACATCTTCATCTTTTAAATCAATGATCTTTTTTCTCTTTATCTCTAAAACCTTTCCAATTTCCATGGGATCTAGATCATAGATGAAAGAACAATTAATTCTATATTGGTCATATCTTTTTACAGGGCTGTACTTGTTTTTCACAAATGATGAAGTACTTAAAAATGGTTCTACAAAGTACGTATTTTTATGAAAGAATAAAATCCAATCAGCTTTGAGCATCAAGAGCAGCACAACTGTTAAAACCAGTATTAAAATATGCCATCGTATTGGACAAATATTGAAGCAGTTGAGTTTCTTCATTCTGTGAAAAGAAAGAGTCAAAGACTAATTAAAGACCATTCAATATGTTTATAAACGATACAGGAGTTAGCAATATAACTATTTCAGTATAACTATAACATAAATGCATTTCCTTGTATTTCTCTCCTACAAATGCCAGAAAAATCTTTTAAAATGATTTAATAAAGATTTGTTTTCTTGATTCAAAATTTTCTGCAGTCTTACCTCAGGAATGGATCATCTATTGTGGGTCATCTATGATCTTCTTGGCCAACTTCTTTCACTTGCTTTCTTGCCATACTTTCTCTAAGAATTGCTGATCAGAACTGCCTTTTCTCCATTCCATTCAGCAGAAGTGGCTTTTCTTCTTCCCTATCAGAAGATGCCTTATTTGCTCCTACAAGAGTGAAAAAAGATTTCAGCATGCCTGTATTACAGAATACAAAGTTTAATAAAATCAGTTTTGGAAGAAACCCTCCCAAAATATTACAGAAAATACTGTTAGATGGATAGTCAAGAGACCCAGTTTGGTCCAGTGGTTAAGGCACCAGATTGGAAAGTAGGAGACTGTGAGTTTAAGTCCTGCCTTAGCTATGGAAGCCATCGGGGGGGGGGGGGGTTGGGCCAGTCACTCTCTCTCAGTCCAACCTACCTCACAAGTTTGTTGTTGGGGAAATAGGAAGAAGAAAGTGTGCTTGATATGCTCACTAGCTTGAGTTATTTGTAAAATTAATAAAGGCAGGGTACAAAATAAATAAAATAAGGAGTGTGCTATTCACTTTATGATGATTACTAGGATCTTGTTGACACAAGCTTTTCATTCCCAGCTTTTCATTCTGTCCTGTCCATCAATGGGGATGGAACCTCCTGAAACCTATCAGTGACTCTGATGTTATTGTGAGACAAAGAATAGCAATAGCACTTTGGCATATACCACTCCATAGTGCTTTACAGAACTTTCTGGTTTACAAATATTAGCATATTGCCCCCAACAATCTGGGTCCTCGTTTTATCTTGGAAAGATGGAAGGTGGAGTCAACTTTGAGGCAGTCAGGATCAAACTCCAGGCTATGGGCAGAATTTGCCTGCAATACTACATTTCACTGCTTCTGCGCCACTACTACGCCACCATGGGTCAAGAGAGGATGAAAGCAAGAGAATAAATAATCACAAATGAAGGTGAATAGGCATGTCCAAGGATAATATTGCAGGATCCAATCTCCTTGTGACTGAACCAGATTGAATCCTGCAGAATAAACAGCGTAAATTGCACTTTGTAATGACCCATAACTCCCGTTGTTCCTAGCTACTGGCCATGCTGCTAGAGATAGTAAATTGCAGTCTAAAATGTCGCATTAGATTGGGGAAGGATGGTTAAAAAAATTATCTTTCTCTTTACTTGTGATCTGCTAGTAACAATAAACATTTAACTTTGTTTATTGTTTTGGGGAAAAAATGCAAACCGTAGTATGACATAAACACAATGCCTGATTGTGAGTTAAATGTATCACTCTGAGACACATCTAGGTACCATGGCAATGTTGGGGGAAAAAACCCATTCTGGAATAAGACAATTGCAACTAGAAAACATTATTACCTTTACATCAGTTAGTTTTGAATGATTAACATATAGGTAGTCCTTGATTTGTGAGACAGTTATTAAGTGAGTTTCGCCCAGATTTTATGACCTTTCTTGCCACAGTTGTTAAGTGAATCATTGAAGTTGTTAAATTAGTAACATGGTTGTTAAGTGAATCTGGCTTCCCCATTGAGTTTGCTTCTCAGAAGGTTGCAAAAGGAGATTGTATGACTCAAGGACATTGCAACTATCATAAACACGAACCAGTTGCCAAGCATCTGAATTTTGGATCTTGTGACCATGAGGATGCTGCAATGGTCATAAAGTGTGTAAAACGGTCAAAAGCCACTTTTTTCAATACCCTTGTAATTTTGATTAGTCACTAAACAAATAGTTGTAAGTCAAGGACTGCTATATTCTAGTATGCATATTTATTTATTTATTTTTCACATTTCTTAACCACCCACCTCTCTCAGATAGGGACTCTGGGCAGTGTAGAAAAGATCTAGAATTATTCTATTATCACCTCTATTTTATTTTAACAAGGTGCCTTGTTTCTTATGAAAAACGCTTAAGAAGAATAAAACGGCCTAATACAAAGATGCTTGTAGAATAATAGCTAAGTATGAATTAATCTAAAATTGTGTTGATGCATTCTCTTCATTTTCTGAAAATCCATCGCTATACATATAGGCTATAACATTTGTACAAAAGATTATATTATCCACTTGTGACCCCAAGAAAGCTTTCATATATAACCAACAGAGCCTGTACAAGAATTGCAATGTTTAGTTTTCAGAAAACAAAACTTTTTAAAAGCATGGGAAAATAACCATATTAAACATGGTTAAATTAATTTCCCCCCAGTTTCTCATGTCTGGCATATCACTCAAAGGACAAGTGTAGATTTCAACGTGAAAAATATTACATACTGCTATTGAAAAGAGTTGTGGCAAACTTGTCCCAATTATACTGCATTTAGAAACAACTTTATAAAAAAAAAAGGGGGGGGGGAGAATCACCATGTGCACATAGCAGAATTCAATCCAATATTCCCCCTCTAGTATATTAAGTGCCTGTGCAAATGTTATCAGTAAGGAAGCCCAAACAACAGAGCAGATCCTCTCTAATTTGTTGAAACAGACCGTTCAAAAACACACTGTCAGCAGAGGATACACATACATGGGAATTGGCAGTATAATGGCTTGTTCAGCAATGTTCAGAAAGTATTGTTCAGTCTTTATTCAAAATCTGCAACAAGCTGAGAACTTTGACTCAGATATACTGATGAATGAATAAAAAGTAAACCAATGTTAGACTGATTCTGAAATAAATGTTGAATACAGTCATGTTTATAATGAAAACAAAGCAAAATGAGGTTACCTCTTTCTTTAAAGCACAAAAAGGCTGGATTTAACTGCGAGGTAGAGTATTTTAACCTTAGAAGTAGGTAGAGACATCAGAATAGAATTCAAAGATGATGAAATATAGCTGATAGGACAATTATGGCCTTTCAGATGTTCCTAAATTACACTCCCCTCATAACTTGCCACTAGGTCATACTAGCTAGATCTACTCTACAGCAGGGGTCTACAACCTTGGCCACTTTAAGACTTAACAAAGCTGGCTGAGGAATTCTGGGTGTCTACAGTACTTCAATGTTTTTAACATGTGAACAACGAGGCAATTTTTTTCCTCTGCATATTTATTTGATTTTCAAAGAAGAGACTATCATTTAGAAAATTAGCTTTACTAAGAAACAACTATTTAGATTTTTACCAAAATATTCTATATAACAAAGAGCAATTAAGAGCAATAAAAGTACTTATATACAGAGGTGATGGATTTCCAATTTTCCTGACCTTCCTCACTGTTTATTGTTGCATTCTGCATGCTACACACAATATTTAACTGCATTACAAGGAGTGAGAGGATGGATACATACAGTTAAAAAAGGGAGAAAGAATATATTAAGGTGGCCTTGAAAATATATTACAGCTAATCCTTAATTTACAACTATTTGTTTAGGGACTTTTCAAAGTTACAACAGTGCTGAAAAACAGTGACATTACGACCACACTTATGACTGTCATAATGTCCCCAGGGTCATGTGATCCAAATTTGGGTGATTGGCAACTGGCATGTATTTATGACAGTTGCAGTGTCCCAGGATGATGTCATTGCCATTTGCGACTTTCCCAGCTGGTTTCCAACAAGCAAAATCAATCTGGGAAGCTAGATTCACTTAATAATCACAAGATTCACTGAATGACCACGATGATTGGCTTCATTGCTGCAGGTTATAAACTGGCACGATTCACTTAATAGCTGCCTTGCTTAGTGATGGAAACCAGTCTCAGTGGTGGTTATAAGTTGGGACTACCTTTACATATAGAGTGTCTGTGACATTTGTAGTATAGCAAGACATGCCAAAAGGATACTTAGATCAGGGGTGTCACACTCGCGGCATCATGCGACGTATCAAGACTTTTCTCCCATTCACTAAACTGGGCATGGGCACGGCCAGTGTGTGACACATTCAGCCTGCAGGCTGAGAGTTTGACAGCCCTGCTGTAGATGTGTTCCTCAGAAGGGGTCCCTTTGCATCTGCCTTCTAACAGAGCAGATGTTTCATTGAGACATTGTTTTTAATAGTCAGCCAGATTTTTTTAGATGCCTACAACATATCATAGCAAACCATCATGGACCCCCAAAAGGATACTTGCAGTAGCTTAATTCTGTCAACTTATTTAAAACTAAGAAACCTGTCATGGCCCCATCAGAGAAATTAGAATAGAATAGAATAGAATAGAATAGAATAGAATAGAATAGAATAGAATAGAATAGAATAGAATAGAATAGAATAGAATAACAGAGTTGGAAGGGACTTTGGAGATCTTCTAGTCCAACTCCTTGCTTAGGCAGGAAACCCTACACCACTTCAGACAAATGGTTATCCAATCTCTTCTTAAAAACTTCCAATGTTGGAACATTCACAACTTCCGGAGGCAAGTTGTTCCGCTGATTAATTGTTCTAACTGTCAGGAAATTTCTTCTTAGTTCTAAGTTGCTTCTCTCCTTGATTAGTTTCCACCCATTGCTTCTTGTCCTGCCCTCAGGTGCTTTGGAGAATAGCTTTACTCCCCCTTCTTTGTGGCAGCCCCTGAGATATCGGAACACTGCTATTATGTCTCCCCTAGTCCTTCTTTTCATTAAACTAGACATATCCAATTCCGGCAAACATTCTTTATATGTTTTAGCCTCCAGTCCCCTGATTATCTTTGTTGCTCTTCTCTGCACTCTAGTCTCAACATATTTTTTTTATATCGTGGCGACCATTAATTGGAACTCCCCCTTGCCATGTTTAGAGAGGCCAGGGGCTGTGGACAATGCTGTCCCACACCCCTCAAACATTGGGGGAGATGATCAACCAAATGGGGAGCTGCCTGCCTTCACAGACACAGGGGAGGATCGGATGCTGACAGGTCTCCAGCAGGAGATCGACTCCGACAGATCTCCTCTGGTGAGGAACAACTGCCTCCTCCACTCAATCCAAGGGCAAGGAGAGCAGAGCAAAGGCAAGCTCAGGGAATGGCTATGAGGCGACGTGGGAGAAGGTTGCCCCTCCCCTCCTCACAAGGAATACCTGGAGTGGAGTGATTTAAGGATAAGCCACGGGGAGTTAGTCTTGCCAAGAACAATTGTTTGTTTTGGATTACACTCCCCCCCCCCTTTGATCTGTGCCTTTTTTCCCTTGCTTTGAGGGCTGCTTTTCACCTTTGCTTTGAGGATTGCCATTTATCTTGACGTAGTCTTGT